ACACACACACGCAGGCAGTTGACAGAGAGTGGAGAATTCCCACGTGGGCTTGCTCTTCTCTGGAAATGCCACATGCTGGAAACCTTGCCCGCCTCAAGAGGGACCCATCTCGGGTCCCACGCCCTCAGGGTCCTCACTTTTGCCTACGTATTTTCTTAGTAAGGTAGTCTAACACACCATGGTCAGGGAGGCCGCTGGGTTACCTGCCAGAGAACATGTATTTACACTTAATGGGGAACCCTTTTAAGACACGAGATCTTAATCCAAAAGAATGACTTGACGTTAGGTGCCGGACAGACAGACCAGGAGCGGGGTCTGTTTGGGCTTTGGGCCGGAAGCTTCCTGATGGTTCCAAAGGGGCTCTCTCCAGCGCTCCCGATTGTAGTTTCCCCGAGGGTTGTCCTGTCCTGCCCTGTGTGAACAGTGCCCATGCCTGGCTTTCTCTTCCCACTTCCTGCAGAGAATTGCCGCCTCCGACTTGGTTCCCGGCCTCCAGTATTTTGGCTGCAGCATCCACGGACAGCTGGACCTCAACGAGGATGGGCTGGTGGACCTGGCGGTGGGCGCCCTTGGCAATGCTGTGATTTTGTGGTGGGTTCGCTGAGGGTCAGGATGAACACCGGGGTTTGGCGGGGGGTGAGGGGGAAGGGGCCTGTTGTTTTTATTTATTTTAGAGAGAGAGAGAGCAGGGAAGAGGGGCAGAGAGAGAGAGGGAGAGAGAGAGAGAATCTGAAGTGGGATCCACACTCAGTGCAGAGCCATCTTCCCACGACCCTGAGATCAGGGCCCCACCAAGAGTCAGATGCTGAACCGGCTGAGCCACCCAGGCGCCCAGACAGCGGGTTTTAAAAATATTCTTCAGGACCTTTGTCCCTTTGTCTTTAATCATTGCCAGCCAAACTCACCCTCTTAATCCTCATGTTCTTAATCCTCTCGTGATTACAAATTTCCTTCCTGTGGAATCACTGTAAGCTGTCTTGAAGTCCAAATCCCTCTTCCCACAGAGTTCTAAGATTATAGTGTCCAAACGCCCCTCTTAGAATTTGTCCTAAAAGTTCTGGCTGTTTGGGCTCTTCTTCCACTTCAGCTTTTCAAGCTACTTAAAGGACAGGCTGAGGATATTCTTATCAGCTGGAAGGATCTCCCTTCTCCCCTAGTGTGAAAGAATCTTTACGTAATACAGATTTCTTTCCTCCAAACCCCTTCGGACTTCTTCTTTCCTTTTTAAGGGTCTCATTTCTGCACCAGCGCATCAGATATTTGCCACCCATCTGCACTCAGGACCTTTCTTTCTTTCTTTCTTTCTTTCTTTCTTTCTTTCTTTCTTTCTTTCTTTCTTTCTTTCTTTCTTCAGGGCCTCTCTTTAGCAATGGTCTACAGCTTTAAAAAAAAAAAAAAAGGAGCTTTCTAAAAGTCCATATATTTTGCCATATGATGCGTTGGAAATTTTTGAGCCAGAAAAGGCTTAATTTTTCATGTATGTTGATGAGCTATTTTTCATTATAAATCCAATAACTTAAAGAAAAATTATAAAATAAAGAAAGAACTCACTCAGGGCTTCATCCACTTCACATTACCGCTGTTAGCATTTTGGCATATTTCCAACCCATCTTTTTCCACCTGCGTGTAATTTTATATGAACACAGACCCATTTTTCATACAACTTAAAAAAGGCATGAAACAGAGGTATCCTAACGACTCCTCGGGGAGAATGAAGGAGTGGACTCGCTCTCAGTCGCCAAGAATATTATGGCCCGCTTGGGAGATGTCTTAGCCTGGGTTCCCTAGAAAACAGAGCCCCAGACTAGAGGTCATGCTAATGCTTTGGGAAGGGCCTCATCCCAGAGGCAGAGGTGAAGGTCAAGGATGCTGAAGCAGAAAAGGGGAGCAGGTGTGAGTGGGGCCTCACTTGCTCACTGGATCTCCAGCGAGGTGGGACACATCTCTGCTTCTTGCAACAGACCATTGTAGGGGAGGAGGGAGAGCAGTGTATCTGGGGGATCCTTGTATCCCCCCATCCTCCATGGCCAGAGCGTTCACTGCCCCACACCGCTAGGCCATCTAAAGGCAGCGCTGGGGGTGCCGTGCACCAGGGCCACGGCCTCTCTCTGAAGGTCCCCTTCACATATTGGGGCTCATGGATCTCTGGGGGTGACAGCAAGAGCGGCTTGGGCGGTAGAGGTTCAGTGTATTGGTTCCGGGTGAGCAAGACCCAGGGTAGGCGGTAGACATGGGCTAGCAGGTCAGGAGGATGACACATAAACCAAGTCCTTTGCAGGAAACAAGACACATGCACACACCCCCCAAGAGAATCAGTCTGCAAAAGGACCCATGCAAGCTCCAACTTTTGAGGTCTAAACCTAAGTGCTACCTCAGCAGTGGTACAATTGTGGGTCCGGGCCTTCTGGGAAGACTCTGGGATCCAACCCCGTGGATCTCAAACTGCCCCGTTAGGATCGACTGGGAGCTTCTCTCTCTCTCTCTCTGTCTCTTTTTTTTTTAATTCGCATATAGGCGATGCACACATTATATTAGTTTCGGGTGTGCAACATAGTCACTCGACAAGTTTGTACATTATGCTGTGCTCACCACAAGTACAGCCTGTCACCATACCTATTGTAATATCATTGACTGTATTCTTTATGTGGCGCCTTTCACCCCCATGACGTATACATTCCACAACCAGTAGCCTGTACCGCCCTCTCCCCTTGCCCCCTTCTTTTTTTTTTTAATTTTTTTTTTAACGTTTATTTATTTTTTCGAGACACAGAGAGACAGAGCATGAATGGGGGAGGGTCAGAGAGAGGGAGACACAGAATCTGAAACAGGCTCCAGGCTCCGAGCTGTCAGCACAGAGCCCGACGTGGGGCTCGAACTCACGGACCGCGAGATCATGACCTGAGCTGAAGTCGGCCGTTTAACCGACTGACCCACCCAGGCGCCCCATCCCCTTCCCCCCTTCTGCCCAACTCCCCCTCCCCCTCCCCTCTGACAACCTTCAGTTTGTTCTCTGTATTTATAGGTCTAATGCTGCTCTTTGTTGGTTTATTCGTTTGTTTCGCTTTCTAGATTCCACATATAAGTGAAGGCACACAGTGTTTGTCTTCGTCTGACTTATTTCACTTCACATCATGCCCTCTAGACCCAACCGTGTTGTCACAAACCGGGAGTTTTTCAAACTCTCACAGGCCAGGCTCTACCCAGACCACATAAAGCAGAACGTCTAGGGAAGGGGCCCAGGCAAGCGGTAAACTTTCAAGATTCCCCAGGTATCTGTTTCTAACGGGCAGCCAAGTTTGGGAACCGCTAACGTAAGCTATTGTGTTTACACAGCACTCTACACTTTACACAAAGGGCCCCTCTCACTTACCTCCTTTGGCTCTCACATCCCCCTCAGAGAGATCATGTGACCTGCCCGAGGTCCGTGAGGAACCGTGGAGCCAAGACCCAAACCCCCCTCTCCACGGCGCAGCGCAGGGGAGGCACAATTCCTTAGGCTAAGAGCAGGGCATTAGCACAGATAATCACGCTACACTTCCTTCTTGTTATAGAAACGCATGCTTTGGAGAGGCGGTGTACTTCGTTCTCTGATTATGTTTTCCTTAGACCAATACAAGAATACATTTGCATTTCCATGCCTGCTTGGATAGGGTCGTGTAGGGTGGATACATGGGGAATCTCTCCAACAGTGAATGGTTCTCCACTTTGGCCACACATTGCAACCACCTGGAAGCGTTAACACCTTGCTCTTCAAAGCTTGGGCCTGGGCCAACAGCAACAGCTTCAGCCGAGGGCTTACTGGAAATACAGAATTGGTCCCCACTTATTGGGTGAGGATCTGCATTTTAAAGATCCCCCGGAGATGTGCGAGCATATTAAAATTCGAGAGGCACTGCTTTCAGACATGTCGATGCCAATCCTGATTTGATTTGATCTGGAGGACAAACTGGGCATCAGGGTTTTTTACAACTCTCCAGATTATTCTAATGGCTGTCCAGGGATGGGATGAGGAGGCAGGAGGCAGTCAGTGTGGTCTGCAGCAAATACAGCCCCTGGGAAATGTCGAAGGGCTGCCTCCAGGGGCTATGTGGCTGCCCTCCACCCACCTGTCCCCGTTTTGCCCAAAACCTTAACTTCCGGGGCCGCTCTCCGCCCTCCTCCAAGATTTTCCAGATCCCATTTCCATCCGCTTCCCACCGCCTCCGTCCCCCTATCTGCTGGGCCCCCGCAGCAGCCACACGTCCCACCCTCCAGCTACTCCTTCTTCTGCTCCAGGTCCCGTCCCGTGGTTCAGATCAACGCCAGCCTCCACTTTGAGCCGTCCAAGATCAACATCTTCCACAGGGATTGCAAACGCAGCGGCAGGGACGCCACCTGCCTGGCCGCCTTCCTCTGCTTCACGCCCGTGTTCCTGGCACCCCATTTCAAAACGGACACAGTCGGTAAACCAGGCCTCTTCCCGCTCCCCCCAGCCCCGATCTCCACCGCCACCCCCCCCCCACCTCCCGTAGACTTTGGGATTGTTCTGTTTCAAAACCAGGGCTTTCACTGAAATAGGTTTTAAGGGCCAGGTCACAACTCGAGCCACCCCCTTGTTGATGATGACTGCATTGATGATCTATTCAAAAAAGCAAGGGATGGCAGTGGCGACGGGCAGTGACCAGCAGCTTAGCAAGGGGAGGAACCGAAAACAGAAGCAGGATTAGGATAATGCTAAAAGTGGGAGGACAGAGGAGGCTGGGGAGAACTGGGACAACTCCAGGAGATGGCTGAAAGAAAAATCAGACAGACCCAGGAGGAAAGCTTGCCAGAAACAAGGAAAGTCAGACAGATGAAACCCCCAGTGGGAGTGGTCACTGCTCAGAGGAGTGAGTCCTCACGGTCTAGGAGCAGAGCAGTTCCCTCTGAACCAATTCTCGGCTCACGGCAGCCCCTGGACATTTAGGCAGCCCAGCTACCCCAAGGAAAGTGTTTCTTTCTTCTACAGGAGTTCCAGGACAGACACACTACAAAAAACACTCCCAGATGGTCTCATTTCCTGTGTAACTTCTCCTCTAGCTCAAGGAAACAGGAGCTCCTGGGAGATGAGGGAGTGGGGGGGAGTGAGAAAATAAAAACGACTTGAGCCTGGTGGCTGTGCCTAATAACTCTTCTATTTAAGAGGAAGGTACAAAAGGCATCAGTGCACAGAAAGAGAGCTAGCTACAGAGAAGATACAGGGGACAAGACAGACTTTTCCTGGATTGGCAAAAATCAATGATTACAGGGAAGGGAAATACAGGAGCCTTCAACTAAAAGTGATGGTAATCTTAGGTTGGAGCCGACCCTTAGTGGGAAAGAAAAGAACTCTGGGGTGGGAACTGCGGCCTGTGGAGGCTGATATTGCACGCCCTGACAGGACCTGGGAGAAAGGTGAAGGAAAGCCCAGGCAGATCAGCTCAGGAGGGGTCAAACGAGGGCATCGCCCTGGCCGCTCGTTCTGTCTCCTCTTCCACCACGTTGATTTCTCCTACATCTCTGTCTCTTTCTCTTTCCCTTCATTGCCAGCCCCATCTGCCCCTCCTTTTTCTCCTTTCTCACTCTCCGCACCAGAGTTTCCCACCCACACTAGGGCCTGGTGAGAAGAGAAGAGCAGCTCTTCCCCGGCCAGCCTGGAGGGCTTCCTGGAGGAGGCTGGCTTTCAGGAGGCTCTCTTAAAAGACAGGCAGAGTCTTGAGTGGAAATGTGGCTCCGCCTTCACGGTCTTGCCCTCTCCCTCCTCCAGGCATCAGATACAACGCCACCATGGATGAGAGGCGGTACACGCCGCGGGCCCACCTGGATGAGGGCGGGGACCGATACACCAACCGAGCTGTCCTGCTCTCCTCCAGCCAGCAGCACTGTGAGCGGATCAACTTCCATGTCCTGGTGAGCCTGACGCCCAGTAGCCCCACCAGCAGAGACCAAGGTCAAACAGGGAGGGGACACAGCTGGACGAGGTGCTGCCATGGGAGAGGCAGAGAGCTCAGCTGGGGCCTCAGGAGGCCCAGCTGGGGTACACTGTCCCAGACCTTGCCCGCCCCCCATATTCATGCCCTACTGGGACACACTGTCTACCACTTCTGGTACCCACCTCCAAAATCCCTTCTTCCCCAGCCCTGTGATGTCTGCCGTTTCCTTAGCAGAGGGTGAAATCTGGGCTCGGTGAGGGCTCACAGAGGGTGCGGGGGCCATGGCCGGAGGGAATGGAAGCAGGCATTGGCTAAAGATGAGGACCAGGTAGGACAGGCTCATAGTGGGGACGAGCAGGGAGGAGGAGGCGAGAGCAGCCAGCCTGGCAGAGAGGGGGAACCAGCAGTGGCCTGGTGCCTGATTTCACGGATGAGGAGGATGATAGGAGGTCTGCCACATCCAGAAACTCCAAATGCCCAGGCCACTGCTCCAGCCTTAAGATGCAAGCAGGGGGCACTAAGAGCCCACCCGACCCCCGTGGTCCAAAGGCCAAAAGTCGGAAAAGTGAGCGGATATGGGAGGTCCTCGCGTCCGTTAATACGTGGCCCCCTCTGAGGTGTTTGTTGTCCTGGTTCTCAAAGCATGGGCCCCCGGACCAGCCGCATCCCCATCACATGGGAACCTGTTAGCAATGCATGTTTCCAAGCCCCACGCCAGGCCCGCCAGCATCAGAAACTAGGGGTTGGGCTCAGCACTCAGGGTTTTGCTGCACCCTCCCTCCCCACCCCCGGGGATGCAAAACCTCCAGTTTGAGGGTCACTGCCCTGATACAAAGAAGCCACTTGTGTCAGGATCTGGGTTCCACGCGGGAGATTTTGTAGGCATCTCTAAGCATCCCCTTCTTTACCAACCATACCCAGACCCCCACCGGAACAGCCCCTGTTTTGTCCACACATTTGTTCGTTCATTGATTCAATGCATTCGTGAAGCCCTGTGCCAAGTGCTTCTGTAGGAGGGAGATCAGCACACAGAGGCAGTTCGAATGCCATATAAGGAGCCAGCCGGAGTAAGGGCTCTGGACAGGGTGTGCACATGGGGTGGTGGGCCCAGCCTGGCTCCCTGGAGGCCGAGGCACTGGGGAGGGGGGTGGGGGTGGAGGTGCCCAGCCTTGAAGGCCGAGCAGGAGCTTTTGCTGAACCTCCATCCATCCAGCACACCCCTTCATCCCAGACTCACCCTGAGGCCGACAGGGAAGCAGCCCTCCTGTGTTAGGAAAATGGACATTTTCTCTCAGCATCCTGGCCCAGAAATGGGCACCCCACGCCTCCTCACGTCTCCCTCGTCTCCTCCCACACAGGACACTGCTGACTACGTGAAGCCGGTGGCCTTCTCGGTCGAGTACTCCCTGGAGGACCCGGACCACGGCCCCATGCTGGACGACGGCTGGCCCACCACCCTCCGTGTCTCGGTACATCCTGGCACATGGGGCACACAGCCCTGGCCGTCAACAACCCCCCTACCACACCCGACCTCCTCCCCAAAGCCCAGATCCCGAGTGCGCTGGTACAAAGGAGTTCTTCCCCTCTTGCACCCTCCTGTCTCCTGCCCTGCAAACCCGCAACAGGACTCCATCCCTCCTCCCTTGTGACCCGGGCTGAACGTGTTGTAGGGGAGGGCCAGGCCTCTCCTGGTGGAGGGTCCCCTGTATCCGCAGCACAGGGTGAGCTCTGAACAGGTCCAGGAGAATCAGAGAACCAGAAGGGACCTTAGGTCTCAATCGCCCACCTCCCTCATTTACAGGTGAGGGCACTGGAGGCCAGAATAGGTGATTCAACCACCTAGAAGGTTCTAGCAGCTGTGCTCCAGTCCCTTCAATCACACTCCCTAACCCCTGGCTCCAGGGGCATCAGAACATTCTGGTATTGAACACTCACATGCCCCCCACACCTCCAACTCCCACCGAAATCCCCCTCAAAGAAAAGGTCACAGTTAAATTCTGTCTGAGCTGTGCTGGGAGAGCAGGCAAAATCCGTAACACATAATATCTAATTCCTGAGCCTTAAGGATTCGGGAAACAACTTTCACATTCACCACAACTCTCTAAAGACCATGGCCTCTGAAGGCCAGTCTCTGAGCAGTGTCTCTGAGAATTTCATAGTTTTATAGACTCCCGCCGGCAAACAACTTCAGAATCACTCACATTCTTATTTGTATTTCTCCAACATAAAAGGATCGGGTGGCCGACAGCAATGCTTCTGAAAGCCCCTTTCTGCTCCCATTCACCCCTTCCTTGTGTTCAGCTCCTCCCCCTTTGCCTTCCCAGACCTCCCAGACTCCACCACCCAGCCCTCGACCCTCACACCTTCCCTCCTTTCTCCTGATTCTGCATCACAGACGTATAAGAGAGGTTATGTTACCCACTTCGAGAAGGGGGGAATGGCCTGGTAAGGCTAGAGTCCTCATCAGTGAGCCGGGAGAGGAGCAGAGGTGACACGCTGAGTCATTAAGGTTTCTCCTCGTCGCAGTAATTACAGAGCCGCTACGGCAAACGAATGAGAACCTGCCACTCATTCTCCAAGCATGTGGAAGCCCACAATGCAGACTGACGGGCAGGGTACACTCTCTGCCCGGCTCATGATATCCATGCAAGGTGGCAGTAAGCGTTGTAGGCCGGGGGTGAGCTCAGAGGCAGTGTGATGGAGTAATCACGTGACAGGGCAGGGAGACTTCCTGGAGGGGGTGACTGTCGGCTGGACCTTAAAGAATAGACCAGATTCAGCTATGCAGAAATGGGAAGAGTGGGCTTTTGTTCCAGGAGAGCTGACAGTATATCCAAGACATGGAAGTGGGAAAAAGCAGGCTGGGGGCACCTGGGTGGCTCAGTCGGTTACGCGTCCGCCTTCGGCTCAGGTCAGGATCTCGCGGTTCGTGAGTTCGAGCCCCGCGTCGGGCTCTGTGCTGACAGCTCGGAGCCTGGAACCTGCTTCCGATTGTCTCCACCTCTGCCCCTCCCGCACTCACTCGCTGTCTCTCTCTCTCAAATACAGATAAACATTTAAAAAATGTCAAGGAGAAATAGGTCTGAAAAAGACAATCTGGGTCATATTATCGAGGGCTTTGAGTAGCGGCTAAATTGCTAAAAATCTTGTTAATCTGGATTTCTAGTGCCCAGTCTCTAGCAAAGGAGACATACTCCGCCCGTCACTCTTCTACAGATTCTTACTTAGCATCTGTTCCACGCCGCGGCAGCTCGCCTCCTGGGGCAATGAGCTGTTCCACATAATTGAGTGTAGCGTTTGCTTATCGCATTAATTATTCCTTTTAATCAACTGGATGGAAATGCTTCTGAAGGTTATAATATAGTTTTCACACTTTTTACGCAGCCTGCCAGGCGGGGTGGGGGCATCTCATCGGAGACTTGACGTCACCGAGGGGCACGTGGGTGCCAGCTTACAGCGAAGCCCCCGGGGGCCGCTGTAAGAGTCCTCAGACTCAGTGTTTAACCTCTGTCCCTTCTCTGCGCGGCCTCACCCTGCCCCCTGTCACATGGCTGTGCTGCCTTTTCTGCTGGCTGCTGCGTGCCTGCTTCTCGCTGTAAGTGTGTGCCATTTGACGGCCGACCCGAGGGCTGTGCTTGACAGAAACGTGTCCACGGACGCGCGTGTGGATCTGAGTGAGGCGGCTAAGGAGCTCACCTGTGAGAAAAGCTCGTGGGTTTCGGATACCGTGTGGCCTTTGTGACACCTGTTTCCCCTCCCCTTTTTTGGGCCGTGTCCTTGGTAGGGACAGTCGCACTCCTCAGCTGAAAGGACCACGGGCGTGTCAAACGCAATGTGCCCCAGAACTGAACTCAGCCTACCCCGCCACGTATAAATGAGCGGTGTGGCCATCCTCCCACACACGGACAAAGGGACTCCGCCAACGTCCTGGGCCCTTTGCCTCCTTAGCTCTGATGAACTCCAGGTCCTAGGGACCCCACCTCTGGCGGCCCTCACCTGTTGTCTCCTCTCCATATCCAGATGTTGGATGCCTCCAACATCATCATCTTCTCTTGCATGAATGCTTAGCAGCCTCCTCAGCGGTCTCCCTGACTCTAGCCTCGATCCAGTGCATCCACCCCCAGCCGCCAGACGGAGCCTTCAATACGCAGGCCCGACAGTCCTGTCCCTCCCCCTCCCCTGCCCAGCAGTCATGACTCCTGTCCATTGCAAGGCATGATGCCGAGGCCCTGTAAGAACTGGCCCCACCCGTCTCTCCCTCCTCTCCGACCCCCCCCCCCCCACACGACAGCAACACTAAACCAGCCATCATTTCCCAAACACACCATGCTGCTTCATGCCTCAGGACCTTTACACAGGCTCATCCTTCCTCCCGACTCCCCTGTCCCTCTGGCCATCCGGCTAACTTGGTCATCCTTCAGAACTCTGACCTACTGTCTCTTCCCTGAAGGCTTCTCTGACCAGGTACAGACCAAAATAACTGTTTCCTTCCCTCTGCCTCTCCTATCCCTCCCACAGATCTGTTTTTTTTCTTTGCACATTTCACACTATAATTATTTATTCACACAGTTCTTCCCCACGAGCTGACAGCAGAAGCTGTCTTCCTCATCCTGTATCCCCAGCACCTAAGACCTTGCCCCCCACAGTAAATGTGGACTGGAACTACCCTGTGGGGCGGGTGGGTGTTCTATGCTACCGGCTCAGTTGAGAGACCCAGGAGGAGCTGAGTTTTGAGCCATGTATTTATTAGAGGAGGGCACTTGGGCAAAAGCACGAGGAACAGCAGGGTGGTGTCCGTGGAAAGGGCAGAGAAGACAAAGCCTGTATCTAGTGTGGTAGAGAGAGGAGCTGGTGTGCTGTGGGGGTGAGAGATGGCCCCCAGCAAAAAGGGCCGCCCACCCACCCCTCCCTGGCTTTCCCTGGCCCAGGTGCCCTTCTGGAATGGCTGCAGTGAGGACGAGCACTGCGTCCCTGACCTCCTGCTGGATGCCCGCAGTGACCTGCCCACAGCCATGTGAGTTGGCCCCTCCCAGCCCCCACCCTGACTCCTTTCCTTCCCTGCTGGTGGATCCGGGGCTCCCGGGGAGCTGGATTATTTCCTGCACATCCTTCTTGCAGGCAGCATGGATCAAACACTGAACGTGGAGCCTGGGTCTAGCCCAGGCTCTGCCTTTCACTCCTGTGTGACTTCAGGCAAGTCTCTTCCCTCTCTGGGCCTCAGTCAGTTCCTCTGTAAAATGAAAACTACTAGTTATCCTACCTCCTCAAACTTTGTTTTGAAAAAGGAATCCTTTCTTTGGAGCCTCTACTACCAAACAGATAAAAGGTGGAGACAAGGACCTGCAAAGAAGGGGAAAAAAATAGAAAATGTCCTATTTTAAATTTATGTAATTTTTTTTTTAATTTTTTAACGTTTATTTATTTTTGAGACAGAGAGAGACAGAGCATGAACGGGGGAGGGTCAGAGAGAGGGAGACACAGAATCTGAAACAGGCTCCAGGCTCTGAGCGGTCAGCACAGAGCCTGACGTGGGGCTCGAACTCACGGACCGCGAGATCCTGACCTGAGCTGAGGTTGGCTGCTTAACTGATTGAGCCACCCAGGCGCCCTATATTTTCAAATAATTCATGCTCAGCTTTTACCCAACTCTGTCATATTTAGGTAGAAGACATATATATCCTGACATATACAATAAATAGAAATAGCATAAACAAACTTTAGGGAAGGATGAAGAAGCAAATATTCTAACCATCTAGGCTACTAATCAAGATCGTCTTGACATTTGGCTCTGAGCTTCCTGGTAGCCAAAGCCAAAAGGGAAGCATGCTGAGTAGAGAAGGGGTATATACTGTTATGCCCAGAATTCGTGATCCCCAAAGACCACCAGGGAGCCGAGTCCGATGCAAAAGCAAAGAGCCTTTATTCGAGCTAGCTGGAGCTCAATCTCCTACCTACACCAACGCAGTGGTGAGATACCGGGGAGAGAGAGAGCGAGTTTCAAAAGCACAAAGGTTTCATAGGGATCGTGGCCTTAGCCGATTGGCTGGGGAAGGGTCGTGACCTCAGCGGATTGGCTGCCAAAGTGTGGTCCCAGATCAGCAATTATCAGCATCACCTGGAACTTGTTAAAAATGCAAATGTTGGGCCTGGTGGTCACAGACCTACTGAATCAGAAACTCCGGGGGTGGAGCTCAGCAATCTGTGTTTAAACAAGTCTTCCAAGAGATTCTGATGCACTGAAGTTTAAGAACCACTGTGTCTGAGGATCTCTAACGTGTTTGGCCTCAGTGTATACAGAACGTTTCTCACTGGTCACCTGTTAACCATTGGCTGTCAGCCTAGCTGTGCTATATAAATACCTAGCACCAAACACCATCCCCAGAGACTCTGATTAATTGGTTTGGGGAGGGGTAAAACGCTCCCAGGTCATTCTAAGCCTGGACAGGGTTGAGGGCTCCTGCCTCTGGCCCCTACCTGAGAGAAGCCTCCCTCTTCTACTCACCCTTTCCACGCCTCTCACACTCCCCTTCCTCCCACCTCAGACTTCGGAAGAAAGCATCAATCGGTAAGTTACTTAAGGGGAGGAGGCGTGTTCTGAGGTTTGAGCAGGAACTTCTTTCTGCAGCCATTTCAGGGACGTAGTTACTAGTCAGCCGTCCTAGGTCTGCTCTTTCATATACGTGAGTAGGGAGGCCTAGCCCTGCATTCCCCATTCCATCTGCCTGATCCTGGTGGTCTCTTTCCCACAGGGAGTACTGCCAGAGGGTGCTGAGGAAGCCTGTGCAGGACTGCTCCACTTACACGCTCACCTTTGACACGGCGGTTTTCATCATAGAGAGCACGCGCCGGCGGGTGGCAGTGGAGGCCGTGCTGGAGAACAGGGGCGAGAATGCCTATAGCACAGTCCTAAATATTTCGCAGTCAGCAAACCTGCAGTTTGCCAGCTTGATCCAGAAGGTGAGACCTTGGCGACCTACCTGGCCTTCCTGAGGCTAAGGGCAGAGGCAGGATAGGACGGATCCAGCCAAGGGGCCTGGCTGGCTGCCCATGAAAATCACCTGGAAGCTTGCGAGCACCTGTGGTCAGACTTCTCCCGGAGATTCAGACTGATCTGGTCTGAGGTGGGGCCTGCGGCAGTGTGTGCTTTTAAAGCAGCCAGGGGGATGTGAGTGTGTAGCCAGGGTCGAGAACCACTGGCAGATGAGGGTCTGACCCATTCAGGAATGTGGGGAGGAACGTCCTTGGGCCTGTGTCCTTGTCCCTCATTAGGGCGCGTGCGCACACACAGACACACACACACACACACACACACACACCCCATACATATGCACACCAGCTCATACACACCCTCTGCCTACAGTCCATCCTTCAGGCTTTCTCAAAAGGGCCCTTCTAACAAGAATCGGAACAGGTTACTCCCCACTTTAAAATTGCCCATCATGCCCAGCTGCTTTCACAACAAATTCCAGACTCTGTTGTGGCATTCAAGGCCCATCCGCTTCCCCATCCATCACCTGCCACCTCTGCGCTCACCCCCACACCCTTAGTCCAACCACCACTGCTGCTTCCCAGCACACCTGCCTTCACACTGAGGCCCTACCCATGTGGTCCCCTGCCTGGACTCCCTCTCTCCTCTGCCTGACAGGCTCCTGTTTCTTCTTGGTTACCATTTTACAGAGAAGGAGACTGAGGCACAGAGAGGTGTTAAGGGGCCCGATCAGGAGCACAGAGCTGCTAAGTGGCAGGGTGGGGTTCCTCACGGCAGAGCACAGTCATGTCGTGTGTTCTCGAGTGCCTTCCCAAAGCGGCAGAAGGCCACGCAAGTCCCTTCAGCCCCACAGAAGTCCCAGGCACAGCCTTGTGTATGCCCCAGGGACATCCAGAGTGCCTGAGTGCTAGCCTCCTATAACCCGGAATGCCTGCAGGGCATGAGAGAAGTCCTGGAGATGTGGTTATTGAGTAAACCCAGGACACCGCTGTCTTGTGTGGGTGCTGGGGGACCCAGGTCCCGTCAGACACAGCCTCTGCCCTCGGGGGTCCCAGAGTGTCAATGTAGAGCCCAGAGTGTGGGGTGGGGCAGGCACAAGGGCCCTTCTGTCCTCACCTCCACTGCAGAACCACCACCAGTCGGTCTATCAGGCCCAGGGCTGGGCCCCACCGCCAAGCCCCCCATAGCCCTGAGTGAAGGTGAGGAGGCCATGTGATGGCCTTTCAAAGTCCTGTCCTGCCCAGAGATTTTTGTATCTGTCTCAATTGGAATATTTAGGGGAAACTGAGCCTGAAACCTACATCCACCTTTCACCGCTTCCCTAGCCCAGACGTTACAGTCTCATAACCCCAGGGGCCAGGAGTCATGGGATTTTGTTTCTGTGGCAAAGGAGGGCTTTGAGAACAGAGGAGAGGCTCCTGGCTCCTTCACAGGATGCCTCCCAACCATCCCCAGCCCGGGAGATGCCCCTGACTCCCCATGATCCAGCCAAGGGGAACTCTAGTGGAGGAAGCACACCCTTAGCCAGAAACAAATGTGTTAGTCTGATCACATACATTTTGTACACACATAGGCAAAAGCATACCAACCTACATCTACATCCAAGGAAACACACATGTTCCTTAGACATACAGCTTAGGGCCCAAGGGTGCAGGGCCCGCAGTGGGTACAAATCATCATCTAGCAAGCGATTACACCATTCTGGGAATTGAACTAGGCACTGCATTTGTATGCATTGTATCATTGAACACCCATAGCGACTAAATGAGGTAGGTACTGTCATCCCCATTTCACAGGTAAGCAAAATGAGACCCAAGCAAATGAACGCACAGCCACCCAGCAGCATCGGTCTAGAGCGCTGTGCGTCCCCTCCTTCAGGACCTGTGTTGAGAAGACAGACGCCTGTGCTAGCCCAGTGGGGCCCCAGCTCAGATAGGCTGGGGGCCCGGTGGTGTTTCCCCCTCAAACCCACCGCCACCCCTTTCTCCAGGGCCCCTGTGGTCCCAGCTGCCTTCCAACTGCAGCTTCAGTACAGGCGGTGGGGGCGGCACGGGTGGCCCCCAGACCTGGGTCTCTGGCCCACCTAACTGCTGCCCACTGTGCCCTCCACCCACCTCCAGGACGACTCAGACGGCAGCATCGAGTGCGTGAACGAGGAGAGGAGACTCCACAAGAAAGTCTGCAACGTCAGCTACCCCTTCTTCCGGGCCAAGGCCAAGGTTGAGGCGGGGGGCAGTGTGGGGGCGGGACCAGGCGGGAACTGGGAGGCACTGGGAATGCAAGAGAAATGGAAGTGAACTGAGGGGAGAACAGAGGAGGGAGCAGGACGCCTGAGCATGCTTTTTAGTTTTTTCTCCCAGGAAATGACTCTTAAATGACCTAACTAGCCAGCCCCCCGCAAAAGAACATCTAGGCCCCTTCACCTCAGGGGACCCCTACCACTCCCACCCACCACTCTCCCCCCACCTTTTGGCCACTTAACCCCGCTGTCCTGTATCCTAACGCAGCTTTTCAGAGTCCAGCCTCTGTCATCCTCCTGTGAGCATGGCAAGAGATTGGGAGAAAAGTTAACATTTCGTGAGCACTTACCATGTGCTTAAAAGTGCATGTGGAAAGTGGCTAGGGTGTGTGAGGGGAGAAGCAAGTTCGCCAGGAAGAATCTCCAAGTTCCAGACTCCAGATCGTGTGGCTTTTACCCATCTCCACTGGGCAGTGGGCAGCCACTGAAGGTTCTGGAGCAGGAGAAGATCTGAGACCAGGCTGCCTGTAAAGCAGGAATCAGAGCTTGAGGCAAGAGCTTGCCAGGGAATGGCAGCATGTTTCCAGGGCCCAGGTCTGCAGTGGAAGGAAAGGAGATGGGGCGAGAGGCGGGGGGCCATGAGGGCTCCTTGCCAAAGAACCCTCCAACTGGGACACAAGTCAAGAATGGGGCCTCAAGATCTCTTTAGGAAAACCCAAGAGGGCCAGACCCGGGAAAAGCACAGGAGTCTGTGGAAAGCCCCAGAGTGGGGCGGAAGGTGGCAAGGAGGGTCAGAGGGCACAGGGCAACAATCAGGGGACCCAGGCAAAGCACCTGGACTGGGCCATCAGCGTGGTGGGAGGACCGATGACCAGGAGGCAGGTGCCTTATTAACATGCTGGGTGGCCCGAAGCAGCCTCCCCCCTTCTCCTGGCCTCACCCCACCTCACCTTCGTGTGGGAAGAAGGGGCCCGTGAGGCATCCTACCACTGGCTTCTGGCCCCGCATCCTGTGGCGCCTGGTGATGGCCACCTCCCCTTCCCCACCCAGGGACTCCTGCAGGAGTCTGAAGTTGAAGTTGGACCTGCTACCTTCTAGTTGCCTGTAGTTGAAAACAAAAAAGGAAGTCAGAGGAGAGGAGGGCTGGCCCCACAGCCGAGAGAGCCCATCAGAGGAGCTCTGGTCCATGGCTGTCCCTGCCAGGTCCTGAGCTCAGCCGGCACCTGGCCCTCCCGCCCCCCAGCTGCTCCCAGTCAGCAGCTCCTCTCCCAGGGCAGGGGCAGGGGCAGGGAGGGCCAGGCCCAGACGCAGTTCCCAGCCACCCCAGCTCCAGTGACTGACCTCTTCCTCGCAGGTGGCTTTCCGCCTAGACTTTGAGTTCAGCAAATCCGTCTTCCTGCACCACCTGGAGATCCGGCTCACGGCTGGCAGGTCAGGGCCTCACCTGCTCCTCCTTCCTCCCGCTCCTCCCCGCTGCTCCTGGGCCCCCATGTGGCCCCTAGCAATAGTCCCTCCCTGCGCCCAATGGGATCCCTTCCAGGCCGTCCCCCCCCCC